TCCTCTTTATTTTGTGTTTCTCCATTTTTGCACTATAACGAGGGGGAAAGTATGAGCAATACAAGCCAGTGTGTAAAATAAAAAAAATAGATTTTTCTTGACTATCCGACGCCGCCTCGGTTTGTCTCCCCTGCCCTGATTTTAGAGGTTGCTGTCAAGGCAACAGCTTCCTGCCCATGCGATGTGGTCCAAAGTGGGATTGTGACTTTCAAACAGGTATGCCCGGTATGTCTGCACAGAAATGGCTGGTTCCATGTAGAAATTCCCTCCGTGCAGCAGATCTGGTGGTTGGGCACGAATTTTAGCTTCCTTCCTGGAAGGCTCATTTCATACATGCAAAGGCATCCCCCCCCCCCCGCACCCCACCTTGGAAGTCCTAACAACACAATTCCAGTGGTTTAAAAAGCAGATATTTTTGTGACAGGAGGGGGCATCATCTGCTCCAATAAAAATGTCTTGGCTAAAACGTGCATTTACGGGGGAAACCTGATCCCATAAGAGAAGCCACGTTTGCGTGTCTGCTAAGTCATATTGCATGCTCGCTCAGCCACTCTGAAAGCAAGGGTGCGTGTATATTTGTCCCCCGTGCCCCCTGCCACCAATTTTCTTTAACTGGGGTAATGAAATGTCCCTGTCCAGATCCTCACCCTTAGCCTGATGTCCTGCCCTCGGTTTGATAACAAGCAAAATCTTTCTTGATCTCCGCCGGCAAGGTTTCAGCTGCTGCTATATCGAGACGGATCTGATTCCTTTTGCAGATGGAAAAAGAAGGAAAGGGGTAAGTTGGGGGGTGGGGAGGGGCAAAGTTGTCCCAGTTTGCTAACAGTTTCTTTGTTCCCCCCATAATATAGTGTTTAAAGAGGCAATGCAATTTTCTAGGAACTTCAAAGCTGCACTGTATGTTTCTTTGGCCACAGGGGGGTCCTCATCTTGCAGCTTATAAGAATATCTCTGAGATGGAAGACATTTTTTTTTCTCTTTAGGACAAAGAGTTGGGAATATATATCCCTTTGCATTTCTAATTTCTAGCCCAGTTTCTAAGTCAACTCTGGAGCCCGACATGGAGCTTACAGGGATTGCGACAGACAGATGTGTAAGAAGAAGATGTGAACGGTGTGCTGGTTAAAAAAAGAAAAATTCTGCTGGTTAATGACCCCACGAAAGTTTTTCGTGCAAAAACCAAGGAGCAGAGTTAATACCTTTCATGAAAACTACTCCAAAGGCAAGGATGTTCTGTGGAAAAAAAGGATTTCTCAGCCCACTGAAATCGAAATGAAGTTTGGGAGGCAGTTTTATCTCTGTAGGATGAACAGTGAAGGGGCAGCCCCAAAGAAGGCCCTGTCCTGCGTTCCTATCAACCACCCATTCAATGGGATATATACAGGAATCTGAAACCATTTTTAAACTACCATTTAAGATGCAAGAATCTTAGGTTTGGAACGGACCTGAAAGATCCTCAGATCCAACCCACTTGCCAGGGCGTAAAATTGCGACAGCACTCCTAGGAAAATCTTTTGGAAGACCCTGAAAATCAAACAAGGGACTTTATGCAAAATGACTCTGAGCTGCAGTTCTTCCTAAGGAGTTAAGGAGGAAAAGCAGATTGCCAGCCATGGATTTCAGTGTTTTTTTTTAAATGTCTCTGCACGTCTGTGCTCTTTTTCTCTCTCTAGTCCAAACTTTTTCTTTATTATTGTTTTTAAAAGCAAGATACGGAACGGCTCGGTGTGACTCAGAAGCTTGCATTCCGATTCCTGCTGGAAGATTCTTACGTGGAAGAAAAATGTTTATGCAAGTAATACTGGAAAATATATGTGGGATCGGTTAACAGAATTCTTTTTCCACTCTGACTTCCACCTGCTCTGCATTGCTCCAGACTCAAATTTCTATAAATAACCATCAGTTGCATAAAGGGTTTTTTTCCTCTCTCCCAAACAGGGAGCCTGTCTGCGAACCTATTTAAGCAGGCCCCAAAACAAATATATAAGCAGTAATAAGTGGGGTTTCAGGAGATGGTCAAATGTCCGTGCTGGTTTTCTAGCATACTGTGCAGGATTTCCACAGTGGGAAAACCCAGGCAACGCGCTACACGCTTTTTCCTGCGAATCCAGAACTTTCCAGTTTTTGGCATGGTTTTTGATGCCATTTGTAAAAGTTTAAAGCAAACTATGAAGCCGGGTGTGATAAAATGCGGTCATCGCTTTGGCAGTCTCCCTCCCCCTAAATTGGATGGATGGATGGATGGATGGATTAGATAGATAGGTAGGTAGGTAGGTAGGTAGGTAGGTAGG